TTTTAATAAGATAGATTTTTAAATTTTAAATTAAATTTTAATTACATAAAATTTTATTAAAAATTAGCCTCTAATTTTTTTAAACTAAAAATGATATATATTATTCTCTTTTAAAATAAATTATAAATTCATTAAATTTTTACTCTAATGCGAGAACTTGATTAATCCTACTTAACTGACATAAATTGACCCAACTCAAACCAACCTATTTATCTTTGTTAAAAAAATACAAAATCCAACCTATTTGTCAGTCATTCAACCTACAAACCGGTGAACATAAAGAGAGATGGACCATTTAGTGGAGGGAAGGAAAACCAAAAGGGAACAACAGTTGGCAGTTGAGCCTAAGCAAAGCTAATGGGAAATTGAATCCTTTGGTCCACCTAATATCTTAGGGACATGTAAATTGTTATGTTATTATGTACATATTAAGAGTGACAGATCTGACTTATTAAATATGTCTGCACTAAAAATGAGATCGAAGAAATTTAAATTTACATTTTCAGTATAATTAATTAAAATGACTTCTTAGTTATTTGAATCAATCCCAATGAATGAAAATAAGAGAAGTTGTTCTTTGAAAAATGGGTTTAATGAGTCATGAGATGACCACAACGAGAAAAATTAAGGGAGAGGAGAGAGATATACCAACAACAAAAGAGCAAGCGGTCCATCCTCCACTCTTGGATCTCCTAACTGGGTTTCCCTTCAGGTCCACAGTGCCATCCTGTGTATAATCATCAACCCCAGTTTCCATAGCCATTACTTTTTCTGTTTTTTCCCCCTGTTTTCTCCGTTACAAATAGAGTGAAACCGTTTTCTGGGGAGAAAGAAAGGGCACTTGGTTTTTCTTTACATTTGCTCTTTCCATACAGTAATGGACCCTTTTATGGGCTTTAAGAATCCAGGTAAGGATTCTAACTTTCGAAAGCTTGCTTAAAAATCTAAGCTTTTTCTTCTTAAAAAGTTTAGGATCTCAACTTTTTAATTCTTTTATTTAAGGACCCTAGCTCGCTAATTTACTATGCCATTTCATTGGAAGAAATGGTGATGTAAACTTTTAAATTCTATTAAAGTAGCTCAAATTAGGTCTTGATTTGTCAAAATAGATTTATTTGACAAATGAACACCTATTATGTTAATGATCTAAATAACTTATTAGTAATCTCTTATTGTTAAAAGTAAAGATTTTAAATTCAAATCATATGACATATGAGTGGAGTGAGTTAAGAGATGAGAGAGAGTTGTCTTTTATTATATAACCCAAGATAAAAAAAGAAAAAAGAAAAAAAAGAAAACCTATTGTAGATCACTTTAATGAAATTAAGAAGCCTATGGTAGCATCTCATCCAACAACAGATTAGTAAAATTAGTCTTGTATTGTAAAATTAGTGAGTTTGAGTTATTAAATAAGAAAACCAAAAGGTTGAAATACTCAATTTGAAACAAAAATGTTTGAATCCTTAATTAGTAAACTTTTAAACGTTAGAGTCCCCATTCCCTGCTATTTCTCAAGAATCCGCACCCAACTGAAGCAAATTACCATTTTTGGCACTCATTTTGGGTATTATATCTTCTCTATTTAATGTACTAAATCATATCTCCTATAACCTTCCATTTTTAAGGATAAGGAGATTCACATTTAGCTGTCATACTTTGTGTAGTGTTATTACAATATTCTAAATAGTTAATATCATATTATTTTAATATAATTATTTATTATATCTTTATATTATATTTTTTATTTAACAAGATAATTGCAACATATATTAAAATAATCACTATTGCTAGTATTTAAATATTAGTGGTTGGGATAAATAAGAATTTTATTAATTAATTATTGCATTTTTCCCATTGGAGGGGAAAAACAAAGATTTCATATAAATAAAAACACAACTTTTAAAAAAAAATGTAATTAAGAGTATGGCATTTTTTTCTTTACTAATTAATGCTATCACATTTCAAAAGTTTCCAATTATTAAGGATATAAATGTGCACATATACAAAATCCCCCCCCCCCCCTTTTTTGGTAAAATCACAAAAACCATATTCTTGGAACTTTTGAAAGATAATATAGCCCTTATTAGTAAGAAAAAATGTCATATCTTTAATTAAATCTTTTTTTAAAGATTGTATCCTTATTTTTATGAAACTTTAAAAAAATATGTAAAGTTAAATAAAAGGAATATTAGTAAGCTAATACATATTAAAATAATCACGTTTATATTAGTAATTGAGAAAAAGATAAATTCTTATTAATTAATTATTACATTTTATTCTATTGAAGGTGGAAAAAAGTAAACTTAAATAAAAGTAATATTAATAACTTTAAAAACTAAAAATTTACATATATAAATAGATTTAATAAATTAATTGATAAAAAACTAAAAAGATATATTTTTTATAATTTAGAAATAAAAAATCTAAAAAAAATAATTTAAAAATTATAAATATTCAAAATTATAAATTCGAGAACTAAAATTTGCATTTAATTTTTTATTTATAATCCATTAAGTAGATGTTGCTTATTTTAAGCAATCATTATATGCGTACATAGCTATTGCCATTTTTGTTTGATGTTGGTTCCTCCAAGTTGCAATGCACATTAAATTCAAATGTTTATTTATTTTAATAATAAAATTTACTTTTTTGCATTTTAAGTAAATTTATTTAATTTTTTTACTTTTTAAATATAAATAAAATTTATATAAATAATAATTAAAAATTTTTTATATAAATTTTTTATTTAATAAAAAAATTTTAATTATCACTTTTATAATATATTAAATTTTTATTTAAATTTTATACATAAATAATTAATAAGTAAAACTAATTTTTACTAAAATAATAATGCAGAGGAAGTGTTAAACTACATAGGCGGGTTGGTTTATATATTTATTGTTAAAAGTTTAAATAAAAATAATAAAATAATTCGTTATAAAACATTTGCTGTAGCCTGTACTACATAAACTCCAGCATAGGTTCAACCAAAAAACCCACTCTTTTTATCATTTTCCCTACAAAGAAGGAGACGGGCAATCGATGGAAGACGCCGCCGTCATCCACCGTTTGCACGCCGCTAAGGCGAGCTCTGGCAAGAGCTACAGTGAGATAGCGGCGGAGACTGGCCTGACCAACGTCTACGTGGCCCAGCTACTCAGACGCCAGGCTCAGCTTAAACCCGATACTGCCCCTAAACTGCGGGCAGCCCTGCCGGAGCTCTCCGAAGATCTCGTCCTCGAGATGATGAAGCCACCCATGCGCTCCTACCACCCAAACCTAATCCAGGAGCCCGCCGTTTACAGGTGCCTTTTTAATCTCTTGCTCTGTCTCTGGCCGTTTAATGGGTTTTGTTTTGATGTATTGAATTTCTGTGTTCTTAGATTGAATGAGGCCGTTATGCATTTTGGTGAGAGCATCAAGGAAATTATCAATGAGGACTTTGGTGATGGGATGTGAGTTGTTCTTACTTTTCTTATTGATGGTTTCAATTTTTTTTTATCTAATTGGTGCTCTGAAATTATTCTCTTATCTAAATATGAATGAAACTTCTTCCTGTATCATTTTGGTTTTTGTTGATACTCTTAAATTCGAAGAATACCAAAAAGGAGAGAACTTGGAGCTCAAGTTCATATTTTGATTGTGGGGTTTTTTTAGAATGATTAATGATTGCTTTTTAATGAACCAGAAACTTTAGAGAAGTATGGGGGATTTATTTGTGTCATTGTGTGGAGTAAAAAATCAATAAGAGCACCTGGAAATGGCAGAATGTGATTCTAAAACTGAAAAACACAATGAATCAAAGTCATTTTTGTGACAATTGAACGTGTTGGCTTCAACACAAGCCTTACATCCAACCTAAGCCCAATCGGCAATAGGTGGAGTAACCTTTCTTATATTTAACCCACATGTTTTATATCTTTGGATTTTCCAATTCAACAAAATCTCCAATACTGGCTAGAAAAGTCCTAGTCCTAGGTTTAATTTTGTTTAATCTTAGTTCATTTGTGCTTTCATTCTCCTTACTGATTTACTTATTTGTTCATTTTTGTTTTAGCATGTCAGCTATAGACTTCTACTGCTCTGTTGATAAAGTTAGGGGTGTGGATGGCAAGGATCGTGTTGTCATAACATTTGATGGGAAGTACTTGCCTTACACTGAGCAGGTCAGTTTCCTTTACTGCTTTATATTCATGAATGAATGAGCTGTAAGTCGTCTAATTGAAATCTGTATATTTTAATTTTAGTTTATCTGTGCATTCATTCTTCTCAAAACTTTTGATTTTGGTGAGAGAGATGATGAATATACTGTACAGAATTCATTGCCAACTTTATGCTTTGCTTCTGTATAACCAACCTTGGCGATGGAAGTGAGTGCTTTACTCAATGAAAACTTCTAAACTGTGCAAAGTACTAAAAGACTTTTATCCTTTCTGAAACTCTTCCATGATCATGTTAATCTTGAAGCCAAGTGAGCAAAAACTTTGATGGGTTATGTAGGAAATTGACATTCTTCTCTGTTTCGTGCTCAAAAACTTCATAAACATGCTTAAAATTCTGTTTCCTTTTTCATAGCAGAAGTCAGAGCAGATGGTTTCAAGACCTCAGCCGCGATGAAGCTCTTAAACAATCCGGATCAGCTGATGCAGATGTTTTCGGTTCCCTTTTTTCTTGCATGAATGAACTCTGTTGTAACCAATGCACGTACCTACACGTGATGTCGCCCATCAATTACTCATGATCAATAATGTCCACTGATAAATTTGCAATTCCACGCTTCTGAAACTTGTCGTTTTTCTTACGAATTAACAAGTACTGTTGTATGTCACATACCTTTTTACAGAGTCGAAGTTGATTTCAAATTTTCAATGGCGCTACATAAAGTGTTTGGGAAATTTGAATGAATAAATGCTTGTGATTTATAGGTTTATTTATCATTTTCTGGTGTTAGTTTGTTATTCCCCAAGATTCTTTTATGCTATATATATTGATGAGTCTTCCATGAGGTGTTGATTCATTAAGGTGTTGATTCATTAAAGGCATATTAACATTTTCATTATCATTTCTAACTAATGTCAGGATGTA